CTGCAAGCTCAGCCCTCCTGTCGCCAGATGTCGCCAGAGCTCCCGCCGCTTCCATGCTCTCAGCTGCGCAGGAACGATCTGAGTATGAGTTTGAGGAAGTCTCACCTGCGCGCCTGACTTACAATGCGCGTGCTGCATCCCTGCTTTGGCCCCACCGTCCGACTCTGCGCTGCTTTGCCCAGGAGCCATGCTAGAACAGCAGGAAGCTTGGTTGTTGCAGCTTGGTGCGCGGAAGTGTCAAAGATACTTTAGTTGTAAACGCTCACCTGAGCAGCGTTTTTTTTCTGCATGAAAGAGCCATGGTGGCCGTGAAGCTGCAAGAGTGCTCGCGTAGCCTTGGGCCTGCAGGGCGTAGTATCGCGTAGTCACGTGTAGGTTGTCTTGTCCGCGTAGTCTGCGTAGTTTGTATGTTTCATTAGGCGTATTGCGTACAACGTCGTGTAGGCCAGGTGTGCCGCGTAGTCCGCGTAGTCAACTGAATAGCAACAGTATCCCCGCGTAGGCCCTCCATGTTAATAGAAGAAACTTTATAAGGAAAAAACAATGCTCACCTGTATCTACCTGCCCGGTTTTGAAACTGCATGCGAGGGAGGTTGCGTGGATGCGCTGTTCTAGGGGATGGACGGAGTGGTTGTCAGATTTGCAGTGAACCACGTAAAGAAAGTGACAGCGGGCAGGATGTTGCCTGATGGCTTTTTTGCATGGGTCACGTGGACCTGTTGGCAAGTCAGATGCAGCCATTGCACATGCTCCAGAGACATGTGATTGCTGCATCGTCTCACAGAAGGCGGACGGGGATGGCCATGAGGGCGTATATTCATAACAAGAAGCTTGAAGTTGTTGTGTTGGTGCAGAGAAGAGCCGTAGACAGCTACTCAAGAGCCCAGCCTGCTCAGTTTGGAAACGGACGTGTTGAGGTGCCTTTCCTCCTTTTGCGTGCCCAGGAGAAGTCTGACTATGAGTTCGAGGAAGTATCACCTATGAACCTTTGCTGGAGTGGTGCTTGCCATTCAGTTGCAGCAGTTCGATCCTGGTGCATTCAATGAAAAGTTTTGAAGTTGACATTGCACCGCTTATGTGCTATGGGCACAGAATAATGACGACTTATGGACAATCCAAGGGGCAAAAGCCGAACGGTGCGAAGCCCAGGGATGAGATGCATCCTTTGTTCTACGACGCATTGTAGAGCATGGTGGGCTTCCGGAAGACACTGGCGGTGAGCATGCCCAGGGGAAGTCTGATCAGTTTGAAGCCGATTCTCCTTTGAAGCTGGTCTGCAATTTAAAGGCGCTTGAGACTTTGATGTCCTGGTGCCGATGCCAAGCCTAAGGAGCCATGTCAAGACAGCTCAAGTCTCAGTTTTTAGTCCCGATGACATCTTCGTTCACGTGCAACTGTCATGCTTCCTAGCATCGGGCAAGCCCAGGCTTCGAACCGTCCCAGTGAGAGCATGAAAAGTCATGCAGTATGCTAATGTTTTTCGATGCCCTGACAAGCAAGGAGAAGTCTGAAAACGTGTCCCCCTCGCTCCTAGACAGCAGTGATTTTGCTTGGCTTTGGCATCTGCTGGCTGCCTTTGAAGTAAGGAGTCATGGAAAGACCGCAGCTGCCTTGGTTGTTAGGCTTCGCAGCGCGTACCTGGATGCAATTGCATGCATGCAGCTCGGACTGCAGCGTTCCCAAGGAGAAGTCTGAGTACGGCTTCGGGTCCTCTCCTGCGCGTCTCAGCTGCCTTGAGATCGCAGCCCCAGCCTTTGATCCTTGGCCGTCCAAGGAGCCACGCTCGCACGGTATGGCCCCTGGTTGGAGAATTTTGTGCCAGCTTCGTACGTCCACCTGGTGAGGACAAGTCGTACAACACAAGCTTTGTACCAGAAGAGGAGTCCGAAGCAGGCGAGACATCACCTGCGCATCCCGGCTCGTGGAAAGCATCCCCCTTCCGCGCTTGCTTTCTGCGCTTGCTTGCGTCAGTTTGGGTTGGCGGCAGTTTGGGTCTAGTTGGACAGCAAGGCATGACGTGTTGGTGCCTTCCTTGTCACTTGCATCGCGTTGTTATCGGCGGATGCAAGGAACCACGCTGGTGCCACGAACTGAGCAATGAGTGCTGTGCAGAAAGAAGCTGGGTCTGCTTCGTATTGTGCTGCGCTAGTGGCAATTCACTGGAAGTTCCGCCCCCACCCGGTTGTTCCACCGTGTCAATGATTGTGCACAGGCCACCTGACAAACAGGTCCTGGCCAATGGTGCAAAGGTGGTGCCAAGAAGGTGCCCGCAAATATCCCAGGTTCTGCGGCCTTCCTTTGAAAAGGACAAGCTGCAGGCCATTCAAGCGGCCCACATATTTCGGTGACCGCATGTGCAACTCGTGCGCAACGTCACTTGGCAAATGCCATAGCAAAAACCAAAAGGAATCTGATTCGATAATCCTGGGGAAGATGGTTAGGTCAGCCCAGGTGCAGAATGGCTTTGCTTATCTCAAAGAGTGTGAAAACACGCCGTTCCAAAACCCCTCCACCCATGTTGTCTTTCTGGCATGAAGTAGCTTTTAATGCCTTGCTGCCAACACTGGTTGTTGCTCTTGAGTAGTTCAACCTAAGTCAGTATCATAAGTAGGTGCCACCGCCATGTTAAACAGAAGGCTTGCTGTCGGTTGACATCCTCATCAAGGTGCACAGGTCAGTTTATAGTCTTTACATTGATACAGCTTGGCTGACGGCCCCTCCCCATGTCATATATATATATATATTTACATACATTGTTCTATGGGCGCAGCCGCTGTAGTATTGAAACAGCTGCCCTGGTCATCTATAGGGATTGCCTTGGTTTCGTAGTGGTTCCATCAACTACAACGCGACGCGGTCATATCCGGTGATGTCATGCGGGTGTGTAGTTTTCCTGGCAGGATGCTTTTATGTAGCTAGAGCACCACCCCATTTCACAGAGAAAAACTATCATGACAGGGAGCTGGGCATCCTCATTTCTTATACCAGAGTTTCTCTAAGAGTGGCTTTGCGATCTCCAACTCTTTAATCGGGGATGAAAAGGACCCATGCGCCGCTTTCATGCTAGCTTATTGCGGCCTCCGCCTCTCATTTTAGAGTTTCGGTTCAAAGCTTAGCCTCAAAGGGCCGTCTCAAGTCCTAGGCTCAGAGTCATTTGATGAGATTGAATGTTTGCACCATTCTCATGTGGGCCATGGCCCGAAGTCCTTGCCCCCACGCTCGGCAATCTGGCTTTCAGGTAGGTAGGCGACAGGTAGGAGAGTCCAGCTTTTCCATGTGCCCGGAAGCGGAAGCATGGGGCATTCACTGCTCGTGGCTTCCACGGTCTTCGCGCTCCTTGGGAGCTGCTGGGCAATGGTTGTCCTTGCCTGGCAGTACCCTTGGCTGCTACATCTGCTCTTCTTCGTAATGTCGACGCTGACTTTTTTTGGTTTGGCGGCTTTGTGCTTGCTTCTCTATTTGGTCCAGATGGCCTATGAGTCGGAAAGAGGCGCTCTGCAGCTGCTTCCGCCGTCTGCAGGCAAGACGCTGAACCTTTCCCTCTTTGAGATTCTGGAGGTGCTAAGCCGCGCAATCATGCGACCCTTGTATGACTGGGTTCGAGTGCTCCTGCTGATCAACTTAGAATTGGATGAGGAAACAAGAAAGGAGATTCTTGAAGAGATGAGCCCTGAGTTTAGGCGGCGCATTTTCCAGTACTCAGTAGGCCAGCTGTTGCCCAAACGACTTCAGCGCTTCATCCTGGGTCGAAGCTACAGTGAGAGCCGGGCACCTGGAGACCTTCATGAGCTCTTTGAGTCTAATGCTCAGAGACTTTCAACAGAGAGAGGTGATAAAGACTTTCGAGTACGCGGGAGAAGCTTGAGTCGGTCCCAGTCCCTCACAGACCTCCTGGCCTTTCTTCGGACAGTTGACAACTCACAGGCTTCAGCTTCGAAGCAGTCATCAGTTATTGAGAAGATCCTGGCCAGCAAAGTGGCGGACGGTGCAATTTGGACAATGTCCCAGGGAGCCGTCCACCAGTACGAGAGCCATCTCAGCAGCAGGGTCCGCACCTTTCTAGAAAACGTCAGCAAACAGCCGGAAAACCGCCTCTTGCGAGCCCCTTGGCCTAAATCATGTCAAAGCATAACTAGCACAAGCCTATGAAAATGTGTGTCAAAAGCACTGGGTTGTTTTAACAGGCTTGGACAGCCGTTCCGCGGTGTAGGCTTGTAACAAAACTGCCAGGCTTGCGACGAGCATCTTCGCGACAAAGCTGTCCCATAAAAAATGCGGGTAGCAAGCATTCGCCGCAATAAGTTTGATCCACAGTCATTCGCTCTCTTCCTTGAGATGCTGTGCAGTTGGACTGCAGTCGGCAGTAAGGTGCCTTGGCGGGTCATCAATTGGGAGCTCACTGCTGCACGTTCCGTTCTGAGATCCATGGTGTCGCTCTTCAATGAGGCGCCGGATGAGGTTAGCGCGACTTGCAAGAAGGACAAGTAGGATGCCAAAGCGCCAGTGTGTCTCACTGAGAAGTTGTCGACCGTATTCCAAGCCCCAACCCCGTCGTTTCACCCACCGCCAGAAGCAACGACAGACCATCTTTGCACACATGTCGATGGCTTTGTTGTGAGCTGTATATTGCTGACAAAAGCGGAGCTTCAACTTGATTGACCTATGACTGTCAGACTGTCCTCGTAATTTCCCTTGTGCTGAGCATGGCACACGTCGCTACTGAGGTGACCACTCGGATGGCGCGTCTTAAAATCCAATGCAAGGCCCTGTCTCGTGAGCAGCATGCCTTACGGTAGGATTTGCAGACGTCTATGGACCTCGCGAGGAGCTGTGCAGAAAGGTGTTTTGTTTTCAACGCTATAAGATGCAGAGAGCTTCGGCGTCAGAATGTGCAGTGAACGGTGCAAGAAAGCGTGGATTGTCTTAGCAGTTTTCTATGCTTCCATCTGCGAGTGTGGTTGGTTGCTAGCTCTCGACACGAGACTCAGGCCATGCAAGCTACACAATCTGACAGCTCCCGACTCCCGAGTGCTTTGGAAGTCCATATGGATGCATGTTGGCTCAGCAGCTTTCAAGGAAGCGCCTATCAAAAGTAGAGGGCCCCCCCGCCGGTCCGACGTCGAAGGCTTCTGGAGCAGCTTTGGCTGCAAGCTTTGTGCTTGCTGACAGCCACGGAGAGGAGACCTGTGAAATGGCAGACACGAAGTCATCACCATGAAATAGTTTTGTCAATCCGTGAATGGGAATTGCTTGGATATCTGATGTTGTGGCTTCTAGGCTCACGTCTGTCTTACGCCTGTCGGCGAGTGCAGCGCAATTGCTGCTTTGCTGATCTGACGTAAGGTCGGGGAACTCAGTTTGATATGCACGTTGTGGTTTCTAGCGCTGCGGTTGCTCCCAAAGTCCTGGAGTCATTGACCTGAGGTGGCGGAAGCAGAACAAAGTTCTACTTCTAGTCTCCTTTCGGCATGGAGCTGCTGAAGGCACCAGGATTCTCTGACGAGGACCTGCCTATCATGCATGCTGTAGGGCAAGCATGCAGCAGCCTCCCGAAACCTTGCCCACAGCTCTTTCAAAAACATCCCGAACTTCACATTCGCACATAGAAGATGAAAAGCCTTGCCGTGCGCCTGCTGAAGAGCCTCGCTAGTGTCTACTGGGTAAGAAGTCCAAACCTGTAAAACGATATTCATTTGAGTCTCATCTTGCAGGAGAGTTTTGTGCTCTGCGACGCTGCGACCAAGGGATTCCCCATTCTGCATGCCAGCCTTGGATTTCAAAAGCTGTGCCCAGCCTGTGCTGCTTCAGGCTTTTAAGCTAGAACACCCGAGTAGCTGGGTTTCATTCTCTGATGCCGTGGGGTGTGGCTGAGGTACGGGCTTAGCCAGGAAGAGTGCACGGACAACCCGTGCGGAGCACTGATTGGAGTTGATGGCATCCTGAAGGATCCATTGGCCCTCGCAGCTGCAGAACAGGAAACGGGAAGGACAGCAGGTGGACTCGCTGCGGGATTCACAGTCATGAACGACATTATGGTCGAGTACGTGGACAGTGCAGTGCAGCAGCGAGAAGCGGATTTTCCAGCAGTTCTGACAGTCAATCGTAAAAGCAATGGCCAGTTATTCACTTGCCGCCCGGCAGGAAAGTAGGGATTCTTGGCCTTTTTGGGAACTCATAAGGAAGTTGTTATGCACAAGCTGTCCGGCACTCAGGCCAGATGAGCCTCCTGCGGAAGCACCACCCAGAGCTTGGCTGGTCCTACATGGTGGGCTTGCAGAAGGACGTCTCCAGTCACGTTCCTGTCTCCGAGCTGTTTCTAGCCGCAAGCGCTGGGCTGTGGTCGCAAAGTAGGCCATCCTTTTCTAACCTCCTTGAGCCTAAACCTAAGCTCTCCTTGAGCTCAAATTTCATACCTTGCTCTTCTAGGGTTTGTGCCAATTTTTGCTTCTCAGGCTGAAGGCAGCTGCGCAGGGTCACGGTGGCTACAGGGCTCTCTGCAGCAGCCAAGCCCGACGCTGCAAGCTCGCGGAGCGCATGCAGACAAAGGAAGCTGAATCTCACTTCCATGGCGTGATGCTGCTCAGCTGACTACAGATGATTTGGTCGCCAAAGTCTGCATCGATGAGCAGGGATAGGATACATGCCTTCTTTACTGGGTGCTGGGACTGTGAGGCGTGACGCTTGGCGCGATGCATTGTCACGGCAAATGGATGAAGCAAACGGCAAAAAGATGCAAAAAGCGCGCTCCATGGAGGAGCGAACGATCGCGAGTTGCTTGGCCGAAGCGAAGCAGTGCTTGTTCAGCAGCAAGCACCAGAGAATAGTTGAGTATTTCTGACCTAGCTGAGCATCTCAGCCACAAATAAAGTCTGCACTTCTGCTGGCACTACAACAGTCTCGAGAAGTTCTTTCTCAGGCTTTCCTTCAATACCACGTAAATCGCGAAATTGTGCAGATCAAATGCTAGGTAGCCAGCACAACATACGTGGCATTTTGGGGAAGATCCATGCTTGGCGTTTGCAGGTGTGAGCACGGCATGCTCTTTGTCCAGCGTTGTGAAGAAGGACACAGATCGGGAGGATGAGCCTGTCCGATGTGATTTTCAGCGTAGCACTTCATGGAGTCCAGATGCTTGCCAGCAAGCGCCTTCAGCAACCACTGCTGCTTCAGAGTGCTGTCGGCTTGTGTACAGAAGAGCATTCTGAGCACGCGCAGTGGGCGGAGTTGTGTTGCTTATTGGTGGGTTCCATTGCAGCTTAGCATGAACGCCACTTCTGCTGAATCATGGGCTGGTTCGGGTGCACTAGCGCTTTTGTGGTGTAGCTGAGGATGCCTGCTTTCATCTGGGCCCCTCGTATGCAGATTCATGAAATGAACATGTATTCCAAGCCGCCTTGGCAGATATTCCTGTCCCTGTTTCTGCAGTTGTCGCGCTGTCGGGGTCAGCATGACAGGTGCAATCGCCAAGACGAGCCTTGGTGGAGTTGGGCTGGCGGAGGGCTTGGCTGAGCTCATAAAAGTTAACCAAACTGAGGAGCACCGGACTCACCGACACAAGCACAGAGAAAGCGCAAGAAGAAGTGTCTTGTCTGAACTGCGGCAAGGCAAGAGCTGGCACGCCCGCTTTTATTGTGTCTTTGTTTACTTGCGCCAGCGGCCCTTTGCTGCAGCATGCCATGGAGTAAACGGGAGATGGCAGCTGAACGCAACATCCCGTTGAGGTTAGTTCAACCCGCTTTCTGGATCTTTTGGAGCCCTTTGATGATGACGAGTTGGAACCAGGCGCGCAACTTCTTGTACTAGTTCCATCTAGTGATTCAATCGCTTAAACTAGAAAGCCCGCAGACGTGAAAAATCCTAAGCCCAAAAACCCTAAACAACCTAAAAAACACCCTAAGCCGTAGGCAGCCCTGAGCCCTAAAATCCTGAACCCTAAGAAGCCCTGAACCCTAAAACACCCTGGATCTTAACTTTAACAACCCTAAACCCAAAAATGGCCTGACCCTTCAAAAGGCCTAGGCCCTAAATCACGGCTCAAGATTTCGGCCCGAGATTCAGGGAGACCTGCCCAAAAGTCCCTAATTGTTCTGGGTCTGTTTCAACGCGAGAAGTTCATTGCAGGGAAGCAGGCAGTTGTGGAGGGGCTAGCATGGTTTCCTGGCAGTTGAAGACGGGATATGGTGGGCACACTTCACATCTCCGATTCGCCTGATGGACGGGGTCTCTGTGAGAGTCCTGAGAAGAGAGACAAGACTGAGACTGTCACTGATGGCGAGGCAGAGGAAGAAGAGAATGACAGGTTCTCTGTAGAGTTGACGGACCCTGACCCTCAGCCCTTTAAAAGCCCGGATCACCCCATGGAGATGCCGCTTTCGAAGGGTCGAGGTAAGTGCAAGTCAAGCATCTACAGAGCCAGCAGGCGAGTTCTTCACCCTTCCACCCAGAGGGCACACTGAGGTGCTTGAGGTTGCGCTTGCAACTACACCTGCCGAGGTGAGTAAGCCGAAGGACGCAGGACCATTGAAGGCTTCGGACATTGGCGCAGGGGTTGCCTTCCATGGCTCCTTTGGTAGTGATACAGCTGCCCACCTGCAGAAGAAAATCCGAACCACAGGTCCGCTACCTGAATGTGGAGTTGGTCCTGCTAGGCCCCCTCCCGAAGTTGGCGGTGTTGCGGAATATCAGATAGATACAGAAGGTGAGGACAATGTAAAAGCGGGGGCCACTCGCCGGGTTCACAAAAGTGATTCACCCCCTCACTTCGTTCGCAATCTCCAGGCCAGCCAGCCTTAATGCCTTGCTAGCTAAACAGGGCAGACTTCGGATACGCTACAATAGATTCGACAAATTGGCCAACAGCAGTCCCAGAGGCTCGGTACGTTGGGGGAGCCTTGCAGACGCATGCAACTCTTTACAACATTGGTAACCTCTCAGTGGAAACAACCGAAGCCTGGAGAGGCCTAAACTCTAAAAAGCCTAAGCCTGAATAAACTTTAGACACCAAAAATCCATAAAACCTGAAAAATCCTCGACCCTAAAGAGGCCTAAGCTTAGATCACAGGGCTCTAGTGGCAACCGCTTGCCCCGATCGAGAAGCTCGATTTCTTGTTTTCAGGCAGCGCAGCTTCAAACATCCGTCGCGCAGAAGAGCAAGCAGTGGGCGCAGGTACGCCCCAAAGCAGTGGCCTGGCCCCACTTCTGTGGATGGAAGTGAGCCAGGACAGGAGTTGGAGCAATTGCGGGGAGTGCGGGAGAGGCTGAGGTCTCTACGACTGCGTCTGACCCGCAGGCCACACAGACAACTCCTGCAGGATACTTGGACAACCTTCTCTTGGACTTGGAAAGCAGCGACGGCCCCCCACCGCCTACACCTGCAGCCGAAGCTGCAGGGGCCACTGCGCCTACAGCGCAAGCCGTGGGCAGCCCCACTGTAGTTGAAGCAACGATGAGCCAACCAGCCTGAAGGGTTGGCGGCTCAGGTGGCAGAGCTTGCTGATGCCCTCCGAAGGGCGTCGAAGCTCATCGTCCGGTTCTTGGCCAACTCGAAGCCAGCAATCAGAGAACGCAGCGCCTCGAGTTGCAACTCAACGAGTTGCAAGCGGGCAGAACCGCTGCGGGCAGCCCCCGCATTAGGTAGCTTAGGGCCCCATGGGCAAGTTTCACCAGTAGGTGGTCTCACCCAGACAGTTTTTAGGGGAGTAGACTTGCTCAAGCAAGCTGTATAAACCCCTCAAAACCCTAGTGACGACTGGCCAAGGTTCGGGTGGCAGGTTGAGACCCTATCTCAGCCTGATCGATGAAACCTATCCGGGCCATCTGGATGTCTGGATGAGGCCAGGAAAACAAAGACATCCCCTTGACACAGCCGTGGAAACCCAGGAGCACAGGATCCTATCAGTTAAACTTTTTGGCTTGCTGGTAGGTTGGTTGCAAGAATGGCCTGCAGCAACCAAGAGGGATTCAAAACCAGTCAGGTTTTGAGCTCTGGAGATTCTTGTGGAAAGAATTCCACCCAGAGCAGGCAAACAGAGGCCTGATATGGAAACAAAAGCCTGACATGGAGAAGGGCCTTGCTGAGCCCAAAGTTCCCCTCCAAAGAGTTGGAATTCAGCGCAGCGTTGCAGGACGAGAGCTGGACCTGGCTAAATATGCCAGTGAGACTGGGGATGGAAGGCCATCTGAGTCCCCAACAGCGCTCAAACAGCACCTAGCAACGCATGCAAGCAGCCTCACTGTTTGTGATGTGGTGAAACAAATAATTGTCTCATACCTTCAGGCCCCAAATGACACCTATGCCAATCATGACAGGCCAAGAGATCCGGATGCCATGGACATCCGCAAAATTGGAGACAAAGGAAACTCCAAAGGAAAAGGAAAGGGAAAGAACGAGAAAGGTGGCAAAGGCAAAAATGGTGACAAACCCAAAAGGAAAAGGCGATGGCAACCAGCATGGCGAGAAAGGAAAAGACAACAAGGAGAAAGACAAATGCCCCATTTGTTGGCGCACAGGCCGCAAAGTCCGAGACTGCTGGTCCAACTCAACAGGTAAGGGCAAGGGTTAAGGCAAAAAGGGATTGAGGTCGCGGCGTGGGGCCCGACCGCGTAGCAGACAGTCAGACAGTCAGA